GTAGGGAAAAGAACTTTTTTTCTTCTGATACACAAAAGAATGTTTATTGCAAGAAACACCACTTCACAGATATTTGATAGTACATTTGATCATAATTTAACTTAAAAGTTTTATAAAGAGTATTGCTGTATTTTTGTAATATGCAGAATAGGAGGAAATAGTATCTTCATACCATTCTTTTTTGTGTAATTGTGCTTCTTGTACTTTATTAGAAATACTAGAGGTAAATGTTATAACAACAGAGCATTTTAAACTCTTAATAACAAACCCTAAAAAAACCCCAAATATATGCTGAAGTCAAAAACACATAAGAAGCAAAGAAAAATGCAAACTGTGATGTAAAATTATGTAGGCGCTACAGCATTTTTTAACCAAAATATTAAAATTAAGACTTTTTCTATAAAAAATATTATTCTAGAGTTCTATTTGCTAATTTCTTCCCTAAAAGTATTATGCAGGGTAAAATAAGAGATTTATGTTTTATTTAAAAAGGACCATCCTTGTAGAGATCTGAAATTTTATCTATTAGAACTGGAAGTGTTTCTGTACATAGCCCATCTTGTAAAATCAGCTATTTTGACTGTGTAATAGCTGAGTTTACAATGCACACAGATGTGTACATTCATGAATTGGACTATTGAATCATGAAGTGATTAGTAAAATCTTCACCTGCCAGTTTTGAAAAAGCAACTGTGTCTTCAGAAGCTTTCTTTAGCCTTTGGGAAGTGAAATTTGTCAGACAAATTATGGGGCATTACATGTGATTCCTGATTTTGCAAAGGCTCGTCCACATACATTACTACACACAAGTGGTTCTTTTTGTGTGTTGATGTCATCCTTATATAGAGATTAAATATATGCTTTTTTTTAACACCCAAGACCAAAATTTTATTTAATAAGAGATGCAAGTCCACATTAATTGCCAGAAATATGCAGGAAATTGTATCTAGCTGTTCTTTAACACTTGCAGGTATTTTAAAATCTTTTGATATAATCTGCTGTGTGACGTTTCTTTGTATTAATGGACATGATTACTGTAATTTCACCAGAATTGTTTAAAGAGGTAATTTTAGTTCCCAGAAGTGTGCATTCTTAAAGCTTATACAGGCTGCAGAGTGTTGGTGTTCTTTGGTAATACATAGGGAAAGTCTTCAGGAAAAACTTACTGTTCCAGCTGCTTTAAAGCTTTCTTTGAAGCTGTAATAATGAATTTCTGAGGCTAGAAGCTAATGGGTGGCAACCCACACTTCATTTTACTTTCCTGTGTATATCAGTAATATCTGAATATGATGACAAAATCCTGAAGTCTACTTTTATCTCGTATCATGATACCTGAAAATACTTCAGCTGCTGTTTAGAAGCAATTCTGACTACAGCCAGTCTTTTGTAAGATAACAGTTGTGGTTCCCTCGTTCTTTTTCAAGAACTGTGATACAGTTGTGTTTTTATTTGGCTCCTGGTTCATGTATTTTTTTGCTGAACATTCTAATAGATACATATGTGTGTGGGAATGTAGTGATGGTGATGGGTATTTGTGAGGGGGCAGACTAGGGACTGCTTTTGCCAGGTAGGAAGGTGACACTGTACCTTATGAAAGCAAAAAGTAAACCAAGAGGCTAGCAGTAAAGTGAAAACCTCTTTGTACATTTATAAGACCTAATAAGCCAGTACCTCTTCTGATCATCTTACACCAAAATATCTTCTTTATGCATTATTTGACTTCTTTCAAGTGCAGAAACTCATGGAGCTCACAGGAGTCTCTAAGCCTGTTCCAGCTGAGCTCTTCCCAGATCTCTGAGGGGCAGGCACAGCCCTCCTTCCCCTTCTCTTTCCTCCTTCAACAATCTGGAGCAGAATCTTCCATATTGAGTCTTTTTCATGCCTAACTACAGATGCTTAAAAATTGCTTGGTGGTGGGCACATCGCATGCTCTCAACCCAAACCATATCTGTGCTTTTAATGTGCAGGCAATACATTTTGCAGCTTAATAGTCAGCTCTGAATGGAGCTGTTAAGATTATTGGAGCAATATGACTTGAATCTGGCCCAAAGTAACACTACCATGTTTTGTTATTTTAGAGATCTACAGATATATTTGTGAGGTTTGGAGATATTTTGGAATATGATTTGTTGTGATATTTTATATGATGCTTCCTGTTTCTGAAGATAAATAGACTATTTTTAAGTTGAAAAAAAATATTTTTTCCTATCTAATATAGTTCTCTCTTATAAAAAAATAAAAGAATTCTGAAAGGTATACTATGATAATATGTGAGTTCTTATGCTGTCTTCAAGAGTAGTGGTCAGTTTGATGCTTCAGGAATTTATATTGTGGAGTTGTTTAAAAAATACTTTTGTTCTACTGTGCTCTTAAAAACAAAAGTCATAAATGACCTGCATCAAAGACTTTAGTGAATTGTCCCTATTTAAATCCTTTGAGTACAGCTTAGATAACAATCTGTTCTTAGCTCATACACTTTTAGTACAAATATTTTTAGAATATGTTTGGATTTATTTTTCTATTAGTGAATAAATCAGCTTAAACAGTAGGTGTTTATAACTAAGCAAGGTTGTTTTATTTTTTTTAACTAAGCTGTTGAAGAAATTTCATTGTCTCCTGTTGCAAATTCCAATATTAAGAACTAGTATTTCATACGTTTATTTTTGACAGTACAGACCTGTCTCACTTTTTCTTTTACTGTTTTTTGTAAGTAATACAAAGAAAAAAACCTACAATCAACCATTGTTCCTTGTACCCACTAATTCTTAACCTGTAGCTTCTCTCTAGTATTTCCTAACACTTTTATATTAATAAGGAATTTGACAGTGATTATAAACTTTCCATTTTCACTTCTTAATAAAGCAAATTATTTGGCATAGAAGTACTTTGTTGTATTGCAAGAATTTTGTTTCAATATTATTTATAATTATTTCTCCAAATACTCCTATTTATCTTGTGATTTGAATCACACTTGCAATTCACAGTATTAGATGTTACATTTGAGAACCAAATAGTTTGAAATTTTCTGAACTAAAAAACCTGAAAATACTTTATTAAAAGCTGTTTATTTTGTAATATTTTCAGTGTGGCTTTTTGGAATGTTTTTCATTTTGTCTTTCTGAAGTGGTAAATCATTGTCACAGCATTTTTTGAAACTGATAGCATAGCTAAGAATTTTGAGAAAACTTTTTAAAAATACTGAAAATTCAGTATTTGAAATAACAGAAATTCTGTTTCTGGTAAAAGTACATCTTTAAGTGTGTCTCTATGGACATGCCTGGGTAAGAGGCAGTTCTGACTGACACAGACCACTAATAAAGCTGACACTCTACAAGTACAAAAATTGAACTAAATGAAATTATTTACAATCTTAAACCTTGTCTGTATTTTGAGGAAGTCAGGCTAAAATGCAGATGCAGTGGTGAAATTATTGTGTAGTATGTTTTGGAGTTACATCCATTATACAAATGCATACAGTTGAGAATTACTTTTTTTTTACAAGCATATGTGAGAATGAAACAAATGCTGTTGAATAAAAATAGCAGAATTTAAATGTAATTCATTTGAACTACATATGAAAATATTATATATGCTATCTAAGTGTGCGTTGGTTTAGGTTTAACTTGCTATTTATTCTTTTTAATTGTTAGAGCTCTGCTTATTTTCTGACTTCTTCTGAACTTTAAGTGTTTCGAGAGCAAATCCATATAAGCATGTGTTTTATATAACAAAATTTAGATATTAACTGGAAAAAATACTTTTTCCATATATGTTTTAGGAAACATATGGAAAATTGCTAAATGTTCAGAAATATCAAGACCAACTGACAGCTCAAGACCTTCCTCCTCAGAAGGAGAAAAGGTAAGCTTGTGATTAGAATGACTAGTGATACTAGTTTTCTTTAATTCTTCCGTATGTGGTTTTGGCAATTCTTGTAGTTCCCCATCCTACCTGCTTTTTATTCCACGAATACATTTTCAGATTTTTTTTTCCTATCCTTGTCTAATACTCATGTGCTCATTTCAGGTTGAAAAGTTTTATCTGTAGTATATATGTGTGGAGTACTCACTGCTAAAGTAGAGAAAGTCCCCCTATTTCTTGTGAATCTCTCCCTGCTCTTTTCAATATTTTCTTCCATATAAAAATTCTGAAGTGTGATTTGAAAATAAGTAGAGAATATCTAGGATTCTGTGTTTCTATATATATAATTTTCTAATTATTTCTGCATTAAATGTTTTTGAAAAAGCCTTTAAAATAAAGCAAGACATTTAAAAACAGCAAACAAGTTGTTTATCTGTTTGAAAAATCTTAAGGCCTAAAGCTGAGCTCTCTAATAGTCTTTCATTAATTATAGCTATTGAATATTTTTACTTACCAATGTTTAACTTTTAAGAGTATGAAAATACTTTATTTCACTATTTTTCTTCTAATTGCTTTGAACAACTAAATCATCAAAAACTATAGTAATTTTAGGAAAGTTAATTTGGTTGGGTTTGTTTAAATATCACCATTATTGGTGATTTAGTTTCCCTTTTTTTTCCTCTTTAACTTCTTTGCTCTGCACAGCAAGCTCTTCAGCTAGTTAGGCAGTAGACAGAAAAGCTGCATGTCAACCAGAAGTAGTTACGGGAGATGCTGCAGTTGTTAGTTTGTTAGTGCATCAGTCAGGAGTGTCTTTGAAATGCGTATAGGCTTTAAGAACTGTTTGCTTCTCTTAGTCTGTATTCTTGCTTTTCTATTTTTAGGGTTTTTTGCAAGGATTTTATGACATATTAGAATATTAAATTAAGCAAGTCTTTAAAAGAAATTGATACAGCTAAAAAGTTTTGATTTTGGAATTTACTACTTTTTTGTATAGTTAACTTTTCATTGTCCAAGTTTTTTTTATCTTTGTTCTTGCTGTTTATTTTCTAGCCAGATTTATGTTCTGTTCCAGTTGCACATCATGTTGGTTTGTCATTTGTTAATTACAGCCATTTGTTATTTATGTTAGGAAGAGAAAGGATTAATTTGCTGAGATTATTTCAGTTTCTTAAATAACAGTTCATGTTTCTTCATGATAATAAATGGTGTCTTATGACTCACAGAATGTTTTATCATAAATTCATGTTAGCTTCTGAGCAGACAAGAGAACAAATGAATTTAGTTTCTTGGTGTAGGCTGCTGAAAAATAACCTGACTCCTTACAGAGTTCAGCCAGTGGATTTACTGATGTGAAAAATGACCTAAAGCTAGTCAGAACTGAAAGGTTTGGGTTTTTTTTTTTCCCTGTTAGGTTTGTAAAAGTTCAGAGAATTTAAAGGGTTTTTGAGACTTACTTTCCACACTGGATGTGGTACTTCCTCTGAGATTAGCCTGGGTAATTTGTCTCTAAAGTGAAGGCAGAGGATAGGTCAGAAGGGCTGTTTAATTTTTTTTCCAGAAAATAATCTATTGTGGATGTGTTGTGTAATATTAACTGGAGAGTTAGCACCTGATCTTGAACTACTACCAGTTTGTGGCTATTCACATGTAAAAAATGTCATTTACTTCACTGGGAGTAGCAATAAGTAAATAGAAGTATATACTTTTGCCTGTCAGAACTGAAAACTTAAAAAAATTACTGTTAAAACTAGCATTGTTATCCAATAGGTGTTTCTCACACTCTGACTCAGAAAAGCATTAAAATACTTACTTAAGAAGTACTACTACTTAAAACCACCTTCAGAAGGAATGCTTTTCTGAATTATAGCTTCCTTAATGCTGCTGAAAACGTCCATTGAGATGGTTTCTAAAAAACCTTAAAGAGGCAAGAAACTAGTTACACCTTTGCCTTAAATTTACCTGATAATGTTGGCATGTGTATTTATGATGACATTCTGGTTTGTTGGTCACTTCATATTACACATATTTCTGCGTTTGCGATCAGCAGTGCAGTTTGTGTGCTGAGCAGGTCAAGATTACACAGCAGATAAAATACAGTGTGTCATTGCTGCATTAATACCTTGACTATACTTACTGCTACTGGGTTTTTTTTGTATTGGTCAGAAAAGTAAAGACCGGTGACAAAATCCTGTTAGTTCAGAATTTGGTTTTGATGTTCTGCCTTTTATTTTGTTCTTTGCTGCTTGTAAACCAAAGTAGGAACAGACTTTTAAAACTAAGCCCTAAATTGTGGGGAAGATCCCTTACTATTATAATACTACTCTAGCTCAATCTGGGACTTCAATAATACGGATAATATCTATCTGATACTCAATTTTCTTGTGGTTAATTCCATATGTTAAATTACTGTCCTTTCAAAAGATATTTTAAAATCAATGTAGACCTCTTCATGTTTACTATAGGAATGTGATCTGTATTCATTTATAATGGAAAATGTATTTCTGAATGAAGACTGACTGTATGTGTGGTCCTTTGTGATGTAACTGTAATAGCATGGTTAATTAAAGGAAGAATATATGTGATATTTTAAACAGAAACCTGGCTGGTAGCAGATGGCTGACTAAGATTGAATTGGAAGAAATGTTGTTAGAAAAACTGTCAGATGATGATGTAAGTAATTAATCTTCCTAATCTTAAGGAGGTTTGTGTCTTAAAAGTAGGGATTGAGTACATTTTTGGATACCAGAAAGGTACTACATAGAAACAGGTGCTCTTCAAAAGAATTTTCTACCTTATAAAGTAAATATACACTCACAGCACTATCACATCCATGTTGTCTTGAAAACTGTCCTGAGTTGCTTCTTCTATTAAAGGCTTTCCATTGTTACTAACATAGTTTACTTTTTCTTCTGGTGAAGTTGTGAGGCCTAGAGCACTTGTTCCTTATCATCTAATTATGTAGTCAGGGATGGAATGCAGTAATACTTTATGATAGAAACATTGTAGTGAAAAGTAAATAAGGGACAGGGCTAGAACCTCTGTTGCTTGCTGGAGAGAAGGGATAAATATTTAAGATGGGAAAGACAATGGATATGTGTGATGGTAAACCTGCACAGTTTCTGATTGTTTAATCTTAAGGACATGAAGACAGAAAAATCACAGAGAAGGCTGATCAGAAATAAGGAGTCCTTTCTCTTAGTGACTGGCTACAGAATCAAATATCAGAAACAGGATATGAAGCTACATAGATCTGTGGTCTGATAGAGATCTGTTATATTCTCCTTGGTATGAATATGGTGGGAGAGAGGAGGGATTTTTGGTTTCCCCAGTATCTGTGAACTGTATCACTGTCTAGATTTGGGGTCCTTCTTTACACATATCTCTGGGAATAAGTCTGTTCATCCTGATAGTTACCATTTTCCTACAGTCCCCTAAGTAGCATTAGTTTTGTAATAGGAGGCTCAGTCTGTATGGCCAGCTTCAATTTTCTTTTGGATATTTAAGCTTGAATATGATAGTAACAACGAACATAACACTGAGCATTCCAAGTATTTTCTAACCTAGAAATGCTATTCTTCAATCTCTTCTGTCCTGTGGACAGCATCATTGCAAAAATAGCATAGTATAGCAGCAAACTCTTTGCGCACTTGTCATCCGGAAGAGTAGTATGTGATGCTTTTCTTGTCTACGGGCAATGTGAAAAGGTCTCAAGCAGATTGTGGTGCTTAACCACAAGTTAGAAAGCGCTGTTGCAGGTTCTCCAGACTTCCTCTGTCTTGCTTACAGAGAGTAATTGTGATCTTGGTGTTTTCAGTAGCTCCTGTGTTTGGAATGGCTGTTTTTCTGTTCAGAGTACCAGGAACTGATCTAATTGTACAGCCAACCAGTTTGGTGTTCTTCAGTGTCTGATTTTTGTACATTCTAGATCTGTTGAAGTAGACTGCAGTAAACTAAAAAACAAGCAAACAACCCCCATACACTGGCCTCTTGCGTGTAAACCCACAAAGCCTCAGCCTGTAGAAACGTTGTTTAAATGTAATTGGAATGTCTCAGTATGAGCTATCAGTCCTACCGGCTCAAATTCTTATATTTTGCCATCGCAACAAAATTTTCTGCGGTGTTTGCATTATTAAACAAAATCAGAGCTGTTGATTTTATTTTTTCCTTTGCACTATGCAAATGAAAACAGAAGTTTTCTTCATCCGTAGCCTCTATAATTTTTAAATTTTGTATTTTTATATTTCTGCCCTTCAAAGGCTATGTCGTATTGTTATACAGAAGTAGCTTTCTAAGTGATGTCAGAATTCTAGGGGCTATTGCTAGGTTACAAGAGAAGTATTAATTTTGTGCAGAAAATTCTGGTAACAGAAGAAATACTTTCAATAACAGCTTGTAAATAAAGAAAACTTAAAAAATAAGGTTATGGTATTTATATGAAAAAATAATTTTACATGATAGCATCCCTTTATATCCTGTGACCAGCTGTATAATGCTCCTGCCAGTAATAATTCATAACAGGACATCCCAGCTTTTAATGCAGACGGGTTAACACAGTGGTCTTTACTCTTCAATCACATGTTGAAGAACTTTGGAGGAGGGGTATAGGGGAAGGAGAACCACACAGTAGCAAAGGATAATTTATTTCAAGAGTTTGCCCTTTAAGTCAAGTATCTCTTGAATTTTTAAATAGCTTGATTGTTCAGTTTTAAAAGAAATCATAAACATTAAAGTAACTCAGCTTGAACAGCCAAAGATGGATAGTTATTTCCTGTATATGTTATGACATAAAATAATTTTAAAGGTTCAATTTAGTGAAATAAAGTTATTTCCAAGTCAATCAGTGAACATGCTGACTTACTGAAAATGAAGTGAAAATATTTTTCTTTTGCCATTTTAATAAAACAATAATAAAGAATGAAGATGACCTCTCCCCAATGTTTTCTTTTTAAAAAATGAGATGAAGAGATCAACTTCATTCTAGTACAATAATCTTGTATTACAAAAGGGTTGGTTATGCTTTGAATTAAAGTTTCATTGTTGCCTGAAGAAAGAACTAGGTTTCTTTAGTCACACAGAAAATGATGCATCTGCATGCTGTTCTTAAATCAGCATGTAGGTGCAAAAGTGTCATCTTGTCAGAAATCATCAATAAAAGTGAAGTATGAAAGATCAATTATACAAAAATAGAAAGTTTTGGCAAATGCAATTACACTTGCATCTTTTAATGAAGTCTTGTTGTCTACAGTATTCAAGATTTATTCAACTCATACAAAAGTTGATGACGTTGCCGTGTGGTGAAATCGAGGAGGAGTACATAAAAAAGTTTTCCAAAGAAGTTCCTGTGCAGTTACAAAAGGCAGTTATTGAGCCCTTGAAGTATGATGAGAAAGGAGTGGCCTTCAGCACTGGTGAAGGTAATGATTTCAAGTTGGTAGCAATCCAGACTTTTTTCCTCTTCACACTACTTTGTTTATAGTATGTTCAACACTGCAGAATGTCTCACTACTTCATTTTATATGCTTATGTATGTACTGCATGTATGTGTTAATTATGTTTTGGTATACTAAATTATGACATGACCTGGTAAAAAAGTGGGAAGTTTTTAGCACAAAGGCTGTCAACTGAATCAACTGTTCGTTTTTATCTGTATTTCTGTAGACTAGTATCTCTATCTCTACTTGTAGGATACAAAAGGACTTTCATTGGTGGCAGGAGTTGGCTATTGAACATAAAGGGCATGGGACCAGGGGAGCATAAACACATGTGGAGAATTCCATGGATGTAATAGTGTTGTTGCTTAGTGTAAAAGTGGCATGCTTAGACCACTGGGTAACCTTTATTATGACTTTTGTAGGCAGTCCAGGAAGGAGAATTTTGAAGATGCAAGAAATAAATAGCAAGGCATTTGGATATTTACAAACAGAGTAGGAAAATGCAAAGAAGGAATTCCTACATTTTGCAGTCAAGTTGACAAACCACAGATAGCATTATGGGACAGAGACAGGAATTGGTCATTGGTACTGAGAGAAAGGGGTTGTTAGAGAAAGAGCTGTGAAGCTCTCTCTATCTTCTAAACATGGGCTGCTTACATTTTCAGTGGGGTGATACATAGTGGAAGAGCAATATGACATGAGGAAGTGCCTGGAAAAAATAAAGTGTCAACAGCAGGGATAGGAAAGTCCAACTTTCTGGACAAAATATGTGCACATGCACGCACTTCATGTTTATGCTGTACATTTAAGAGAAATCTTGATCAGAGATGACGTGTTCTTAAGCAGCAGACACTTATAAGAATAGTCACAGAATTTGGGGCAAAATTGCTCTAGAGCTCTGTTCCAGCTGCATTGGCTTCAAGATGACATGGCAATGAGAAGATTTAATCCACACTTGTTTTCAATAGTGTCTTCAGAACAGCAGTTATTGAAGTTTGATAGACATGCAATGCATGTTATTTAAGAAAAGCCATCAGATGTTGTAAGTTAAAGAAAAGTTTTATTTGTGTCCCATCATGCCCCTAAATTAAGAAAAATGTCTGCTTTGTTTTCTAATTCCTTTATCAGAATGATTACTTCCTTTGTGCTACAGAAGATTGGTCTTACGCTTTAGGACAGAGTGTTTCAGGTTTTACCTTGTAACTAAAGTACCTAGAACTAATTTTAAGTAGTAATTTCTGAAGAGACTGTGCTAAATTATGTATAGACGTTGCTTATACTGGTATAATTAATTTGCTAACCTTTCCAGTGTGAATATCCTTAAACTTCCATACCTTTGTATGATTTTATAGAGTATTTTAATGTTGTCATAAATTTAATTTATGGCAAACATAGGTGTTCAACAAACTTTATTTTCATATGCTGTGACATCACTAGGTCAAGGAAATGGCTTCATCTACTGAAGTTATGGGAGATGGAGTATTACTTCTGCCTCCTTCTGACACATACTTTCCCCCTTGCCCCTTCATGGACGTGGATTAAAATATATTGAAACCTAGCTGTTCGTTGTTTGATATTTATTTTCTTCTCTTAATTTTTTCTTTGTTGCCTCACTTTCCAAGAAGAAACAGCTGGTACTGTATGAAAGTGGTGAGATTTGCTTAACTTCTTGGGCACTTAAAGCCTCACAACAGGCTGGTTTTATTTCCTTTAAGGTAGAAGAAAAACTGCAACAGCTACTGCTGTAGTTTATGACAATGGGTCTGGAAAAATTACAGTGAATGGAATAGATGTTTTACATTACTTCCCAGTGCTGCAAGACAGGTAAGAGCACTATGAAGTGCTGTATTCATACAGTACTTAAATTATTCCAAGTCATGCCATCCTATTATATTTTGGTGCTGTGTTCCACACAGTTGATGCTATGTTCTTCATTCTGTATAGCTATCTGTTTTATGAAAACTAGTCTTGTTTTTCCTCCTAGTTGTACAAGAACTGATAGGTCAGCCTTGCTCTCTTTCTTGTCTCTCTCTTTCTGAAGGGATTTCCTAAACCAAGAGCACAGACTATTTGGATAGTTCAAATTTTGGTCCACTTAGAAATGGCTTGCAGTTTATTTTAAACAGATAATAAAGAGTGTTTTTAAGTGTTTTGTGGGAGGTTTACAAGTTGTGTGCACATGTAGTTACTCTGGCATTCAGTAATATAGTAGAAGCTGAGAAACTTTACATACAGCTTCAGATTCTGGAGGTTCTGCATAGTCTTATATAGAGAAGACTTCTCATAAGGCTGACATAAGATTTTTATTCCTTATGGGATTTCAGTTTTCTGTTGTGGCTTCTGAGCTCAAGAACAGAGTGAGAGGTTGCTCAGTGTGAATATCCAAAGCTGATGAATTTCTGTGGGCATGTATAAATAATTAGTGAAACAAAAGTAATTGTAAAACTGAACTTACAATACCTATTACTGGCTTTTTCTGTGTTCCTAATTTCCCATTTATTTTATTGATATCAGTAGGAATTTAGAGATAAGAATGCCTTTCTGGTTCTCTGCCTGAAAGTTAAATATGTTTTTGTATATACTATAATTTTAAAAAAAGTATATACCATGTAACTTTACTTACAAGTATATACTTAATTTTGTTGTTACGATTTTTTTTATTTTTTATTTTAGAGAACAGTTGTTGTTCCCTTTCCAGTTTCTTGGCAGAGTTGGAAAACATGATATGGTTTGCACAGTCTCTGGTGGAGGAAGATCTGCACAGGCTGGAGCAATACGTTTAGCCTCTGCAAAAGCCTTAAGGAGTTTTGTGACAGAAAAAGAGGTAGAATTCATGAGGCAAGGTAGGAATTGAAATTATTTAAACGTTTCTTAATGTGTTTCTGGTAATTAACAGAATTAATACAAGGGTCATTAAGGATCAGATAATGCATATTTGAGTAAATAATCCCAATGAAACCTTGCATATTGTGTGAAAGAGATCTACATTTATTTGTAATTTGTTTTCACGTTTCCTAGCATCCATTGTGTACATTTTGGTTGACTTCTTGAGCATTTTCCCATCTGTTTATGACCTCTGTTAGGTCTATTAACCAGCTTATATTGCCTCAACATAGAATCACAAAACATGAATGTGTATTTCCTACCAAATAAATCTGGGTCAGATGTTAGTGAGCTGTAAGGCACTAAGTTTATTTTATTTTTTACTCAGTCACATCTTGTTCATGTTTAAAAAAGTTTTATTCTTGAACTTAAACACTAGAGAGTTGGCTTTGAAGTCATAACAATGAGCATAAACATATCACATGCAGCTAGCTGCACTGAAGGAACCTCTTTCCTTTCTTGCTTTATTTAGAGTTTACAAGTAAGATAGAGCTTACTTGGATAACTGCAGTATTTGATACTTTACAGTGCTTAGATGCCATCCTGTTTCAGCAGATACATAATTATGAACAATGAGTTTTTAACTGTTCTTCCTGGAGTAGTGGGGAGAATACCTTGTGTATTACTGGCAAAACAGCTGTGGTTTTTTCACTCTTTTTCTCATCCATGGAAGTAAAGGAGTCTTCATGTTAGTATCTTTGGAAGAAGTTTTTCAGTACTGACATGTATGACTTGCTAGGAAACTAACAACTTACTTCCCTTTAAATTGACATTGTAGTGAGTTGGGTATCTCTAATGAGATCAGCATAATTCTGAATTGCCAAATATACTTTGGAAGCACTAAGTGTACTTTAAAGCAATGGTCTCCAAAGTGGGGTGTATGCACAAAGTGATCTGTTGGGGTGCAGGAAGAAAATATTAATCTTCATAAATTAATAAATACACATATGTTGGAGGTGCATGCTCAAAAAAAATTTACTGGCAGGAGTGCACGGTCAAAAAAAGCTTGGAGACACTGCTCGAAAGGCTTAAGCAACACAGATATAAAACATTTTTTTCAGTCATTTGTAAAGCAAAATGTGAAGAAAGTTCAGCTACTAAAGAAAAGTTAGCATTAGAAGATTTGATGAATTTCCTTTCAGTGTGTTTTGTACTGAACCCTTATCGTACATGTTACTATCCATATGCAAACTTACTGTCTGGCTTGAATCCTCCACATATAACATACCTGTAATATTAACTAAGAACAGTAAACAGATCAGTTCTTTTCTGTGTTTTGTAGCTGGACTACTAACCTGTGACCCACGTGTGAAGGAACGAAAAAAGCCTGGTCAAGAGGGACCCAGAAGGAAATTCACCTGGAAAAAACGCTGAGTATTTAAGGAATGACAGAATGCTACCAGATTGTCAAAACAAACTGAATTAAGATTTAAAACTATTGTAAAAATATATTTAGTAATAAAGACTTTTTTCATTATAACTACTGTGTTTTCTCCATTTAGAAAGCAACAAACAACTTTATTCAAATTTAATTAAAATAGTGGAAAATTGTGCTGTGATTTTCCAAAATGGTTAATCTAAAATAGTAGCTTGAGTGCCAGCTCTGTATCCTGGCTCCACTGAAGTCAATAATGATTTAGGAACTCTTGTTGGATTATAACTTCTAAAAATCAGTCTATTTGTTGAATGGCTTGACTGTCTAAATTTTGGAATTAGGCATCTCCTAAACAGGTATTTGGACAACTTCGACATGCCTCCCTTTTTGCCTCACAGGTATGGGAAGGTAAGTGACAACTTCTCCCCTAAAATATGGTTGATCTGAGAAACTTGCAAGAATAGTACTGACACTTGAGGGGTTGCTGAGAGAGGAACAGTCACAGAGAATAACCTTTGCCTGTGGAATCTGTTGTCTCCAGGATGCCTCCCTAGGTTAAGTAGGGAGTGATTCAGAGCAGGTGTCTAAATTTAGTTGCTCTGAATCACCCTCTGGAGGAGTCGGATTTTCTGTTCTTCCCCCAACTGCAGAAAGAGCTGGAGGGATTAGGCTGAAGTTCATATTTTAGAGTATTCTTCTCCACCCCATAAATCTCAAGGGTCCTGATCAAGGAGGCATGTTCTGAATATGGCTAATGCACAGAGATAGCATTGGACTTTTTGCCAAATACAGTTATAACTTTTAAAATCAGAAGCAGGAGGTGATGACAGTGCCGCCCACCTCCTGTCTATAATTGTAGCCATCCAAAATAGATTAGTGGTTTACAGCACTCACCCAAAAGCACAAGGTTTTGGTTTATTGCTAGCTTCCTTCCTGGGACAGAGGTCAAATGCAGAGCTTCCAAGGAAGACCACATCCTTCTTCATTCCTGTAGGAACTGGGCTACACCAAAAAAGATTATAAGGTCCATTTCACTACGAGAAAGCAGAAATAAAAAATTAACTCAGTAGTTTTAACAACAGGGCATTTTACACCTTTATTTTAATTTAGAAGATTTTGGTAGTTGGAATTCTTCCTCCCCAGTCAGATCTTCTGAGTGTTAGAGTACTTGCCCTGCTGCTTATTTGCTGTAGATTATACAAAAAATACTACAACTCAGAGGTAACAAAAGGGGCTAGCAGGTCACCTCAGGAGATAAACAACTATGAGTGATCTATATGGGTCATTATTTTCTCAAGCACCATTCAAGAGGGGGCAGAAAGTAACTAAGCTTCTTGAACTGAGTAAAACAGAGCTCAGAAACTGCATATGCATCCTTGACTGATGTGTTTCTGATTCCTTACTCCCCAAAGCCACTTTGCTTCTTTTTAACTCTACTTTCATGAGAATCCTCAGTAATCTTGTGCAAGATTTCTTATTGCTAACGTAGTTAATAAAAATATCTGACTCTAAAACTACCTGGAAGGAGGTTGTAGGGATGTGGGTGTCAGTCTCTTCTCCCAGATAACAAGTGTAGGACAAAAGGAAACAGCCTGAAGTTGTGTCAGGGGAGGCCTAGTTTGGATATTAGGAAAAAGTTCTTCACTGGAAGGGTTGATGGGCACTGGAACAGGCTGCCCAGGGAAATAGTGGGGTCACCTTCCCTGGAGATACTTAAAAGATGTGTAGATGTGGTACTTAGAGACATGGTTTAGTGGTGGACTTGGCATTGCTGGGTTAATGGTTGGAATCAATGTTCTTAAGGATCTTTTCCAACCTAAATGATTCTATGACTGAAGTTAAATAGCTGAGATAGTTCATGTAACTCTTTGAAAAACAAATGGGGTTACATGAGACGTTTTACACTAAGGCAAACACGGAATCTTAATTAGTGTTTCTGCTAATGTAGCTCTGAATTGTTTGTGTGTAGCAAAATACATCATGTTTCAGTAAAAGTTGTGACTTCTGTAATACAAGCATTCAGTAGACACCCATGCTGGGCCAGGTTCCTAAGGGTTCTTCTGATAATGCTTACATAACCATAGGGGCTTAAATGGAGATGAAAAAAGATACAGGAGGAGATTAAATAGTAGAATTTTTATCTTAAGACAAATAAAAATTGATCAGTCTGATTGTATTACTTTTCCTACCTCATTATTAGGCAATAAAGCTGTAAGAGTTCAAAATTCTATCTGTACTTAAAATGTACAAAGTCTTTTTTCATGTATCAAAGGGAGTACAGACATGGCCTTTGGTGTTTAGACCAAGCCAAAATTTTAGATAGGTTAAAGCTTTAGAATCTATCACTAATTTTTAGGGAAGTCCCTGAAAATACATGGACTATACTTCCTCAGGCTTCCATCTAGCCCTGAAACTGAGCCAAAAGAGGCAATAATTTTGAAAATTAAAAAAAAAAAAAAAGGAATTTTAAATAATTCTTGCATTTTTACTTGTATGAAGTTCCTCTCAATCATTTGTAATACATGTCAACATTTAGGAGTTGGATTTAATAATTCTGATAAGGACTTTTTCTGTAGCGTTAAAGCTGATCAAAAGGTGAAACTACCATTTTATCACTCATTTTTACAGGCTAATCAGAATTGTAGTATTTTATGGGAGAACCAAATAAGGAAATTTAATTGTGTTAACTTTGCATTGTGACAGTAGCACAACAGTACAATCAGATTATCAGTTTGAATAATCTGTTCCAATTTCTTGTTCCTCTCATTCCCATGTATTCCCAAGGTTATCAAAAGAAGCGGACCTGAACACCTACCTGCTAAATGTGTCCAAGCCAGGCTTCTCAGATCTCAATTTTGAACCACTTATGGTGTGAACCCACTTATCTTACCAGCAAGATTTCAGAAAACTGCCCTACATGTGACAGGTGTTTATTCTTTGAACATTAGACTATTTTCTGATTGTGGCCAAAAAGGAAGCTGCCTGTGCTTTCTAGTCAATGTATCTTGTGATTCATCCAGGCTTTTCAGCTTTCTTTTTTCTTTTCCCCTCTCCACCACATGGATGTTTTGCTTTCAGTTAAGATACGAAAATTGTCTCTAGGACAAATGGAATGTATCTATGTAATCAATTTCTGGTAATTGTCACATTTCTTGAGTGTGGAAGCCAGTTAGTCCAAAGGTAAATCTGTGAGGATCTCTCTTTTGTACTAATGCTGCTATGTTACCACGAGATGGAGCAGTTTGCAATCTAATGAAACGAGCTATTTTCAGAAGTGGTATGTAGATATGAAAATTATGAATTTTCCTTATAAACAATGATTTTGTAAAGACATTAATATGAAATTAAATTTGTTTGGCTTCAAAAGAGTAATTTCAGATTGTGTTTCCAGGAGTTTTTTTTTTCTCATGAAGAGAGAAACAAATTTTAGTGAAAAACAATAAATGTCAGTTAATGCTATTGCAGCAATCTAATTTCAATGCCTAAGTGATACCTTAAAATTAATATTACAATGTTATGCTAAGAAATGCCAGCTGATGTGTGAAGCTTGGAAATGATGCAGTAACATTGTGCCAGAGATCATAATAGGCTCACAGAATGGTAGGGGATTGAAGGAAGCTTTAGTGATCACCTAGCCCACTCCCCTGTCATGGGCAGGGACACTCCCCACCAGACCAGGTTGCTCCAAGTCCCATCCATCCTGCCCTTGGAACACTTCCAGGGACAGGGCCTTCACATCTCTGGACAACCTGTGCCATGTCACCACCCTCACTGTAAAGAATTTCTGCCCCATGTCCAACATAAATCTACCCTTAGCAATCTCATACTAATTATATACGTAACTAATAAATACAATTATTTAGATACAATGCCAGAAATTTGTTTTGGCTAAAGGGAGGGGAATTTGTTATTGAAACTCCTATCTATAAAGTTTCATAAAATCCTTGTGCATACAGAAAATAATTTTCACAGTATCCTGAGATGCTTTATATAGATAAGAATTTATGGGCTGGAATTGGAAGCAAATGTGTTGTTTATGCTCTGCTAGGACCCAGCAGGCAATGGTTGTAGTAGCTCACTAAATGTTCTGCAAACACACGTGAGCACAAATCACTGCCTGGGTACCTGCCCAGCTCAACAGAGCAGTGTGGGAGAAGAACAAAGCATATAAATAAATGAGCAATGATGGTTTTAAGATTGCTTAGCATCCAGCCTCAATCACCATGTTGCCAGTCCCCTTCACTGTTGGCTTTCAGTGTTGAATAACTGAATATTGAAGTACTGGTGGGCAAATCCCACCTGCCCTTTCTCTCCTACGTAGTAGCCACTTCAGCAGAATGGGTACTTCTCTGCTTAGCTGGGAACTTGTTGTGGAGCCTTGGGTGCTCCACAGAGGAGTTCTGTACTTCAACACACCAGATCTTTAAGGCATTCAAGATGTGTGCTGACCATTTTTCCATTTCAGTAAATGTCATACTTAGATGCTGACCCTAGTGACATAATAAATAACACAAGCTGAGTGCTGTGTGCTTGCCAGAGATCCTGAGCAGATTAGTACCTCACAGAACCAATTTCAAACTGATGATTAGTAGGAGATACTACATGATACACAACATTCCCTTCTGAAAGTGCCATTTTGATTCTTAGACCCATCCCCAATAACCCTCCTATTTGCCTGGTTGCACTTTCACATAGTAACTACTGTTTCCCATATAATGATGCCAAGATAAAGAGGATTGCACCAGTGGTACCAGGGTAGAAATGATTCAAAAAACTTCAGCATGTCTTGATACAGTTTATTTTGGGTCCCAGAGCAGCTCTGCAGGATTTGGGTTGATGGTGCCTCTAAAACTGACCTTCTATTCCTTGTACCTTGAGTGCTGGATTGCATATAGGCAGTGTCAGCTGTAATGCTTTTTAGCTGGTGGAGCTATCAACAGAATGTTTTTGTTTAAACTTATGTTCATATAATGTAGCTGAAGTTTTAGTGTGTGCAAAATAAGAAGAGTATAGGTTTTTCACTATGAACAATAAAATGATATTATTACACACTGCGTAACAGAGGAAGAAGAGGTCTTTTCTTTGTAAAGAACTCGGTGACTTCA